ACTGGATTAACAAATCTACTATAATACCTTCATTTATACTCATGTAAACACTGGCAACAGTTATGGAATTCGTATAGACTAAAAACTTTTAGTAATGTTGGGACGTCAGTCCTCCATTTTTCAAAAGATATAAATGCTCACCTTGAATTATATTACTAGACTAGTTACGACTAAATAAGTAGGGAGGGATTATTTCATCAGAAATTCACATCACTTTAATAACTATTCTTCCTAGAAAACTCATAAGAAGTGTCTACCTCGATTTAGCAGTTCAGTGTTTAACACAGAATCTACTGAATATGAGTTTCACTTAGTAACACTAGTACTCAACTGATAAGTCCAAAATAGTGCAAAACTCATTCTAGTTTTCATTTCTAATCATGTAAAATAATTAATATGTTTGCATGATTTATCTTCTCATAGACACTTGTGTGTGATTCAAACCATTTTTTATTTATCTTATCACCAAAAGTTCTCTTTTCTTTTCATAAACCAATTGAAGACAAATTATGATAATGATGAGCATTATTTACGCAATTTTTTTTCTTTTCTTTTTTACGACAGAACCTAACAAAAAGTACACGTATATAGGCGCTCTGTATCTCTATATCATCACTAGTTTATAATATCCCCTTTTCAGACTTCACTTATCGCACGAGTGCACAAATAAAATAAATACACTCGCTTGATCACTTTTCCGTTTAAAATAGACAACACAAAAGCGTAACAAGTAGAATAAGGCAGGATATTTATATCTGATTCTCTCTATTTCAGTTCTTCACTTTGTCTGTATGTTCCTGTGTTTATTCGTGTGTCTACACATATATGTGTGAGTAACCAAGGCAGATAGAGTGATTATCACGTAAACGTACTGTAACCTCACATTATTTTTTTTCCTTTTTTACTCATACCACAAACACACAAACAAATACACACTTGGAAGCTCATGGCTATACGAGGTAGAAAAGAAACACTCACACCCTTTCATGCAAGGGAGAATCTATCAAAGTTTTTATCTTAATTCCTTTTGATATACCTCAGTAGCAAAAAGAGAATGATATCGTTTCTTTTCAAAAGTAAGAGGAGATTGGAATTTTTTATCGTCTGAAATATTTTCTCTAAATTCTCAAAAGCAATAATAAGAAACGTTAGTGTTAGTGGGGAAGAGAAGTAACAAATATGCATATATATCCACGAAGAAATAATGGAATTATCTGATTATAAGAGAGGACAAGTGTAAAAAATACTTCTTAGAAGAGAATGATGATAATTTTAACCTTAGCAACTTGAACATTAGATGGAATGTTGTAATAGCCACTTGGACTATTGCCTCTAGGCAGTTGTTAATATTGTTAAATAGTCTGTACTTTGGAGTGAAGAAACAATATGAATAGTAATAGGAATAATAATGGCACTAATCATAATATGACTTGTACTCTGACTCTACGTGATATCAAACAGAGAATCACTAGTATCTAGACAGTACTATTCAAGAAAGAAATCTTAACTTATAACTACTTAGACGACAATATTGGAGATTCTTTTAGCCGTCGACAATATCCATTATTGGATCCTGATTCAGTGGATGACTCGTGACTTGAGACTTCTGTATTTGGTCCCCTACAGAATAATTTATGCTCACAAAACAATAGTCTAGGGTTCCTTGTTTTCAAAACTTTATATTTTACTGAAGTTAAGAAGAATCCTCAATTACAGAACGGATTGCGTGGATAGGTGAAAGTCTTCTGAGAGCCATTTGAGAAATGCATCTTCAGTTGATGAAAACAAAAGCGTGGGGACATCGAATGTCCCCAGTATGTTTGAGGCTGGTTGGAGAGGCTGCTAACATTGCAAAAGAAATGAGGAGATATAGTATAGAAGTGCTAGGAAGCTCTGAGAGCAATTGGAAAAGAAGTGGACTCTCCAAACTGTTAACCGGAGAGTCAATAATCTACTCGGGTCATCCAGATGACAACCACGAGCACAATGGTGATGTAGCTGTCAAGATTTCACTAACAGCATCGGAAACTCTTAGTCAGGGGAACAAAATAATGACAGCAAGATTCAACTCAAAAGGTCAGAAAGACACACTTATCCACTACTGTGCACAATGCGAAAAATAACGCATAACTAGTAATGAAGAAGCAAGAATTTTACAAACAACTGCAAATAGTAATGGACAAAACCCTGAATGGGGAAATCGAAATCCTATTGCGTGATATGGATGTCAAACTGGTAGGAGACAACACCGGACAATAACTCAGTATGTGCTGGGATGCGGTGAGTAAAAAGAATGAGGATGGAGAACCCTTTGCAGACCTCTGCACCATCAGTGATTTGGTGATTGGTGGCACTGTGTACAGGCACAAGGATGTCCACAATGTGACAGAGGTTTCACCAAAAATCAGATAGACTTTATCTGATTCTGAAGAAAGTGGAGACCCAGCTTACTGAACTCACAATCGATAAGGGTAATGAATGTTGGTTTAGAACAGTATTTATTTTAAAGAACCTTCAAGATCAAGTTGAAGGCATTCAAAGAAGGTGGAGATAGACAATAATTCATGTCCAACACTCAGAAACTGAAGGACCAAGCTACAAGGATACCTTCACATCAGTCACCAGGAAAAAGTTGAAGGTATTAAATGACATCGTCTATGAGACTTATGTGGAAGAACACTGAAACTTTGTGAAAGCAGAGTAGAAGGGAAACTGTATAAAGATTTTAGGCAAGAAGAAGAGGTAAGGACACCTGGAGGTGGATAGAAGACAAAAGGAAAGTGAAGCAGAAAATAAACAGGTGCAGAGATAAACAACGAAAGGAGAGAATGAGTACAACTTACAGAGAACTGAAAGAAATAATGAAGAAATGGCTAAGAAAGACAAATGATGCTTTTAAGACGCACTGGCAACTAAAGCAAAACAGGCTTCAGATAAGATAGGCCTCACAACACTATATCAAATAAACAGGTCACTATTCAGGGCGAGATCAACGCAGATGAAGTCAGTGAAAGGCAGTGGAGAAAATCCAGTTACCAAAGAGATTTGACAGGGAACACTAGGCTGATCCCTTTAAAAGACATTTGAACAAGCTAACACCTGCAACACATCCAGAAATATCACCGATGGTCACATTACTACCAACGAACACCAATACTGTGACACAAGCAGAAGGCCATGAAATTACTGAAAGCCGGAAATGCAGCAGCACCAGCACCCCTTAGAAGCACTAGAAACGGATCCGAAGACCTCAAATAATATACTTTTATCACTGCGGAAGATGTGGAAGTAGGGAAAGGTTGGTTAGTCTCCTACCTTTACTTCATTCGCTTTGGAAATGCTTTCGATAGCGTCGACCTCAAAGTAATTTGGCACCTCTGTCAACATTACGGAGAATAGTATCAAGAAGGTTTATAATCTTTATTCAACAGCTAGATAGTCATGTTGCTCGCTGACTGATTCACAACGGATAACCGAGAGAAGCCATTAAGATGAAGACAGAATTAAGACAAGACTGCTAAATATCACCTATGGTGTTCCTGACTGTGGTGGATTGCAGCATGCAGCAGACCGTGGGGAGTGAGATGATAGGCATAATTTGGACAGACGAAAATACCCTAGGAAATCTGGATTTCGCGAATGATTTATGCCACATTTCAGACTGACTCAGTCATGTGAAAGCAAAAACCAACAATTTGACTGGGGACGCAGAGAAGGCAAGGATTTCAAGTGAACATAATGAAGTCAGAGGTGATAAAAATACCCTACCAATACCAATCACCATCAGTGAGAGAAATTAAATCTTTCCATCATTTACCTGAACAGTACGCTTTCAAATACAGGCGATACGGACTGGGAAAGCAAAACTGGTGTTTATTACTCTGAAATCAGTGCACAAATCAATAAACAGCACTTAATACAAGGAATAAAACTCGTATTTTCAACACTAATGTCAAGTTAGTGGGTGCTTCTCTATGGCAGGCGACTCGCTAAAAGCATTTCCAACAGGTTACCGCAGGCTTTTATCAACCAATAACTGCCTTCGCTTTTGAAAATCTTATGACCTACCGGAAAGGACAGTTGACAATGAACTCTATCAGTGAACCAGCCAAGAACACATAGCCTAACAAATATGCAGAAGGGAATGGAAATGGATTGGACATAATCTGAGGCCTTCAAGTGATATCAAACGCCAGTCTACCGAAAAGAAGTGGGAAGTGACATGCGGGCATCCGACACTGACATGGAGGAAATTATGTTGAGAGGGAACAAAAGCTTGTGGGTAGTCATAGAACTAGTCGAAAGTGATAACAGAAAACCAAATGCAATAAATATGTTCTACTGAAGCCCTTTGTTCCACTCAGAATGTAAAGAACAGTTAATGATAATAATAATAACGTAGTGATTCCTTGTTACGCGATTAAAGTGTAAAAATGGGAAGCAGTAACCACTAATCCTCAATTAATAATGTAGCTAATATCCCTAAAGTCTATTTAATACTGACTCATTAATTCATGGTGGTATAAATCAAAGGTTTTCAAACATCCAGTTTATCAAGTTGGTGTTTAAACCACTAGCTTTAATTTCATCAGTTTTGTGTTAGACGATTTACACTGACCTTTCGCAGCAACTTAAGTGGCACTCCACAAAGTCTTGAATATTTGATTGGATGGAGGATTTCATCATGAGCTGACATCAGTTAGAGAACCATTGGAAAACCTGGGAGTACTGGATAGATGTTTCGTCCTAGTTTGGGACTCTTCACAGTACACACCCACCGGGGTTCGAACCCAGGACCTTCTGGTTACAAGGCAAGCTCGTAGACCACTGAGTCACTGGGACCCGATCCAGTTGTTAACGTCAATCACTATTAGTGATTGAAAAACTATGTGTTCATTTCTGAATGAATAAAAGTGAAGACAAACTCTAGAACATGGTCAACATGAGTGATAACTATTCTGATTATTAAATGCCGTATTAAAACGAAGTGAATTACTTACTTTAACTTGGGATGCTTTTTCAAATCTGGAGTTTCAGAGAGAGAAAAAAATAAATATCCATTGTAGATGAAGTAAACTGGAATGATAGCCTAAAAGTTAAGAAGAAGGCAGTCTAAATACATTTTTTAAACGTCTAATCTTCAGCACTAACTTCATTTTGAAGTTGTAGTTTGCAAATACAGTGAGAGCTGAATAAGCAAATCACCGAGCTCAGAAAAGTAACCTCTAAACCTATTCTTTTAGTGCTGTAAGTTCCTTCAAAATAAACGTAAATTATGCAGTTTTAAAAATATTTATGTTCTATCACCGAGTATCTATGATAGATAAGTATTATGTTGCATATGTTGAAGTAATAACAAAGTTAGACTGTTTGTTAATCTTCTTTTTTTTCATCCTTGACTCACTAATTTACACTAAACGCATTGTTTAAGTTCGACTGGATGGTTTAAGTGATGATTTCGTAGCGGGAAAAATTAATTTACCGACACGAACCTTGTTTCATTTCATAGTAACTTTCAGAACTAAAACATGTCATCCAGAGAATTACTGTGAATAAGCAGAGTTGTTGGCTAACTGTCCTCTTATAGTTTAGGACTGACCAATATCATTTTCTCCTACAGCCCTTTGCAGAGAGGGTCTCGAAATCGTGAGGTCTTGTAATGAACGAACGCATTATCGTTTGTCATTACAGCTGGATGACAATAATAAGTACTCAAAAAATAATTCAAAGGAAATTTACTTCAAAGTTTATGGTTTCATTTCGATGATTTGTTACATGAAAAGATTTCATTAGGAATGAGCATTAGACAGAATGTAGCAGTATGTTATTTCTTACTGACTGATAGCTAGATAGCTGGAAACTGTTCATACCAAACAGTAGTGCTCGCTAGCCAGCCAGTATTGTGAAGTGAATCGCACATTGTTTAGTTGTTTCGCTATTTTGAGGCCAAGGTCACCGGCAATGTACTGGGTTAGACTCAGTTCAAATAGTACAAACTACTCAGATATATTTAATGTTTCTGTTCCCTTTAACGATTAGCCTTGAAGGGAAAATTCCCTGAATATTGACACTCTGATCACTAAGTTAAGCAATGAAAGTACTAGCTGTAGATAATATTTCACGAGTTAGTGAAAGTTTTAAGACATAATACATTATTTTTCGTCTTTGTGTATTCTGCTAATATAGTGAGAAGTAATGATTAGCAGCAGAATTCGTTATATACTTACAGTCTACTGGAAGAGAACTAATTACCCAGGTTCTCACCAAAAAGTTAAATCCGTTTTAATTAAGTATTGTGAAGCATGCAATTGCATTGTGTGAACCCAATTACTAAGAACAGATCTTTCATATACCAAGCTTAGAGTCTCACTTATCGTACGAGTGGTGACGTTACTACCAATTTGCTTACACTGAAGTAAGGGAAGTGGCACTCAAACCTATGTTCCGTTGGCTGCAAACCAGGTTCTTAAGCTAATGAACCTTATCTCCACGATGCATGCAATTAAGCTTACCAAGTATAGCAATAACTATCATAAGTAGTAATAAGGATATTAATATTAGTGGTACTTCTTGTTCTAGTTTTGTCTAAAATGCTCTAATTGTTCTAGATACTGAAGTATAATTTCGAGTTTCCTTCTAAGCATAAAATAAGTCGAAAGGGAAAAGTATTTACTTGTTGTTCCCGGCTTTTTAAATGTTTACATTCTCATCTAAGTCGGTTGATAAAAAAAATAAGTTGTGTCGATTAATTCACTGTGGTTTGGTCTCATTTTATAAAACCGTTATCACTTGAATTTTACATGTCAGTAAATAAATTCGGATTTCTGAATATATTTATATGGTTTGCACTATATCACCACTCATGTCAAAAGATGACAGGATGACAGTCTGCATTCAGTCAGTAAGGAGGCTATTTTTAGCGCACTCCCTTTACACCATCAAAGCATGATTATATGCGAACATATTTATTTTAAAATGAACATGGAATCAAATCTAGGAATATGAAGCCACACAGCCTTTCACCATTCATCTGACAAGTGAATATCTGGCCTTTCATGTCACATACCATCAATGATAAATAAAAATTATTAAAATAACTTTTGCTTCAAACCTATCTGATCACATTGCCCCAAATCATTACCTTCTAGTGTTCGACTGTTGAATATATTTTGAATATTTCCAAACACAAGTCCTAAACTTTAGTTTAAAACAGACTGATGGTGGGAACGGGTACTAAAAAGCTGTGTTAGTTAAGTGGTTTACTGTATGGTGAATCAACAGACATTAAGAATAACTGCATAGTTACTGGCAATGTGTTCACCTCTAAACTTGAGCCTAAAAAGTTAGATCTAGTACAAGGTTGTAAGATTGTGCAGACGAAAGGTTAAAAAATTACAGTTTAGTAATTCCCACATTTATGCACCTTATTAGAAATACAAAATCTTGGATGCGGTCAACAGTGAAAACTGACTTATACATTTCATCCTACCTGAGACTTGTCAGTTGAATGTACCTGCTGCCTAGTGGGTGGTGGCGTTCTTCTTTAGACTGATCGTCGTTTCAAACACCAAAGCGACCAAGTTATGACACTCACCTCTAGTGCTACAGATATTATTTGTACTTATTTTTTTGTGCTGGTAATTTTCCATTTTATCTTACTGACTAGCTTTTATGGGCTACATCGTCGGACGCCTGTTACTTGTTATGAAACACCTATCATCAGGACAATATTTTGACTTCACTTAATAAAGAGTTTATATTTTAAAAGAGACCACTCATTTCTATTTACTCATGTTGAGGGGAATTTCGAATATCAACGAATTACTGGAGATTTCCGATCATGGCACAGAACAGTGACCCAGGCTATTAGCTAAAAACAGAACCAAGTACTTGTATGATAAAATATATTTAATATTTTAGACACTGTCATACTACTTAGTTGTACATATTATCAGATGAATTGTGTCATCTTGGTTTCAATTGAATAAATATAAATAAAAGGATTTTTGTTTAACATAAAATAAAGTTAAAACTATTCTTTCGTCTAAGAACATAGTGTTGCTCGTTTCAAATTTTACTTCGCATACTAAATAAAAATGTGGAGTTATGTATTGGAAGTTGTGGATTTCCCGATGCTTGACTTATTCGGTTAAAATAGTCTATCTCTGTTGAGACACAGACTGAATGGGATATTTCTTTCCCAACTTGATGCTATTCGATAATTAATGGCTAGCAGTGGAATTCAGGATATGGGAAGTATACAGAAAAATAAAACGGAGATATGCATTAAAACAATTCCACTATCCCTGGGATAAAGGCAGAAATGAAAAAGACTAGAAGGACAGAGCTTCGAGGTTTCAAAATTATGGCATCACTGATATTGTCTTAACACTAACTCGTGAAATGGGATTATGCTCTGTCTCACTGACCATACTGGAATCTTGGATTATTTACATAGGCATTCTCCTCTTCTAAAGGCACTAGAAATAACTGTTTTGCTACATTAGAATTAATTGTAAACTTCAATGTATGAAGACTCAAAACTATAGCAACCTGAATTTATTCATACAACACTAAACAGTTACTCTCAGAGGGGAAAATGTTGGCTTTCTATTTCCAGACTGTTTTCGCTATTCGAACGAACAGATAGATTGTGTTAATTTTCTTCAAAACCCAATTCAGTCAATACCTGACAAATTGGTATAGATGTTTACAGGTCTTAAATTCAGTGCTATATAAGTCTCTTATTTTAATAACAGTCAAATAAAGTATTTACTAGACATATATACTCTTACGAACATCCATCAGTGTTTTAATCTACAGGTTAATTACTTTAAACATTCATGTTAAATTTTCAAAATAAGAAATACCTGAGTGAATGATTGTTTCCAGCAGATTTATCCTCAAATGCAATGGGAATATCATCATTTAGTGGAATGTAGATATAATCAACTGATAGGTCTCAAATGGAAATGGAACGTGCTTCTGTGAAAATCCACTGCTAGCCATCTCCTAACAGATAACACCAAAAAGACACAAAGTCTTTGTGAGAAAAATTTTGATAGTAAATATTTATATGTCAGTTAGTCGAAAATGCTGCATCGAAATTTCATTGCAAGTGACGCGTAGTGTCTAATCCCATATACAGTGGACAAGGATAGTTCGTCGGCCAGACTATTAGCCACATCCAATACTCAGTTTTCAACTTCTGGTCATCATCAGTTAATTGACGGTAGCTTTGTTTAATATCTATCTTCTTAAGATAAGATAACATTACAAAAGATAAAAAGTTATATAAGTCAAAAAAGACAAAATGTTTTAGCAAATCAGTTTACAGCAAATAAAATCTCAGGAATTCAGGTTTCGGCCTAATACTTATTATTCGTGATGACGTTTGATGTGGTTTTTGCGGTCCCAGAAAACTTTCATATCAACTACACTTCTACTTAAACGTATTAATCACACATATAAAATAACAAAAATATACAGCCTGATGAACAATGCTTTGCCAACGTCTGACATAATTATTATGTATGGCAAAAGGGATTATGAAAGTTCTTCCACCAAACATTGATGCTATCTCTCAAAATATTGTAGACCAGAGATCACTGAATGACTCTTTGACCACATTTTCAAACTATTCAGGAATCAGCATACTTAAAGTCCGAAAGAATGGAGCCCGGAGCCGTCAGATTTCAAGGTAAACACATGCGCATCATTAATCTACTATATGAAAATTTATCAGTTCATGAATTCTAACTAATACAGTGTTATTTCCATTAACATTTATCAAATACTGTCCTTTTGCTGGATATTACTGAATTAGCTAGTTAGGACCTCAAGAAATTCATCGCGAAGCTGATCGCCAATTAATATTAGACTGTCTGGGAATACCTCCCTACCACTGGTGGTAAAAATATCCGATTAATATAACTGCGCATAATCAGTCGTAACTGAATCTATATTCATCAGGTAATAATGTCTCAGTATTTTAAATATCCGGCAAATTAAGTAATAGGCATATAGGGTTCAAATAATTTGTTCATTACACGTGTTCAATTTCATTACTTATCCTCATATAACAATTTTCTGGCTGTAGACACTACATGAAATTCAACTATTGACGTCAGTTATGTCATACAAAGGGGTTTTCGAAAAAAATAATTATACAATCTGGCGACTGAAGACGACTGATCATTAAGCTCAGCAACCACTTGAAGTAACATGCAGTTGGCTGCCTAATCCTTGGCAGGTGGAGTGGGGTCTGAATCTGTGACCCAATGGTTGTAAATCTAGTGCCTAGACCAGTGATTCACAATTCCACGATTAATTACTATTGTGTAGAAAGTATCTAAGTGAAGTTTACCTGGGGCTAGCAACGAAGTTCAAGAAGTGACATTTATACTATTTGGAACTCGGGTTAATACAAAATCATTTGTTCAAGGAGTTGATTTTTGTTTGCACTGACTGACTAACTTATTCCACCGAATTTAACAATGAGGAATTACAACATGCGAACAAATATCAAATTAGATTAAGTAACTGTAGCAATGATAATCATTGATAGTCGAATAACATTAATGCGAATTTAAAGCAATTAGTTCCATTTACGAATTTCAACAAAACAACAGACATATTACGTATTCTTCTTGTTCTGTTTTGAATTAAAGCGAATATTTTAAAGATCAGATTTCTACAGATTTGATTAGTTTTAATGTAGACTACGTCACTGATTGATGAATCGCTGAAGACCACGAGGAAGTGGATATTTTTGCGATATATATTCTAAAGTTTTAATGAGAACTTGTGACAAGTGGGGTTCACTAAGTCGAAATTAAGAAGGATACTTGCAGACGATATGGGATGACACAGCCACTATGTCTAACTGGCACAATTCACTGGATTTCAATCCAGTAGCAGGGTGACAACCGTTCTCCCTTGGTAATATGAAGATTATGGCTGTAATCTTGGATGTACATTACTGAAAGTCGGAAACTATGACCAAACGGTAATTGCTTAACTGTTGTCAGTTCGTGATCGACCCCTAATCGATAACAACGATAAATAGAATACTATTGCCGCTACTGCTACCACTACTCTTCGCGTATACATTGTTCCTATTCATCCCCGCTGGACAATTTATGAAACCTATCCTACAACAAGATACTGTAACACATTGAATAACAATCAGAGGTATTAATTAATAATTTCATTCAGTGAAAGATAAACAAACAAAACATCAGCAAAAAAAAGGGAAGAGAAGAAACACAAATAAAGTGGAAAATAGGCAATAGTTTATATTTACGTTGGTTCAACTTATCACCTGTTTAATAATAACAGGAAGAATAAGAAATAAAAGAGAAGGAAATGAAGAAGTTTGGTTAGGCAGTAGAAGTAGCAATAGTAGTAGTAATTTAATGTTATTTTAACAGTTGTCTGCAAAAAGGCAGAATATTTTAAAGTACAATAAGTCTATTTCATAATTTATCAACTATGTACACCATTATTCTTTCCACAAACACTATCAGTGCTGTTATTAGTTTCATTAAGATCTAGAAATCAGAAGGGTTGTTAATTAGTTAATGATTTCACCAGTTTTCTTTTTATTTCATTTATCAGTTTATGAGAGTCGCTCCAATTCCGTTTATGCTTCATTTTGTATGTCCAAAGGAAAATTTTTGTTTTAGTAGAAAAATATACACACACACACATGCATCAGCACATCTTCACGGACTATACAACACCAAGTGTAATCGTTTTCTATGATTGAGTGATTACAGCAGTGAGTGACGATGGGTGACCTGATACATGGAATTGTGTTTGTAATACTGGCGGATTGAATAAATCTTAAATGAATAGTTTAAGGTTAGAAAGACATTGTGTAATCAATCGATTATTTAAGTGCAATATCATCCTGATTATCAAAATAAAAATTGGGAAGGGGAAAATAAAGAGAGAGAAAAAAGTTTCCACTCACCTGATTGACACAGAAAAAAAGACGAAGAGAATAAGAGAGAAAATGAGCAACTATTCAGTTGTAACCATATTCTTCACCACCGTTGATAGTATGCATGTGTCTGAATCTCCTCTGAATGAATGCCTTAGCCGCTGGCTGTTGTGCTTCTTTTTTTTTCTTTTGCAAAATCTGCATAACTTCCATTACTGATTTGATGCAGGATAAATAAAGACGTTGTCATTCATAGTGACAGGATCAGTTACAGAAGGATTATTTCTTGAATGCATAAAAATATTTGAAATTAATGTTGACTGGTTGGCATTATAGGCTTCAATATTCATTCCAATGTCAACTGGATAATTTGTCTGTTCGCTTATACAGCCAGGCATGGATGATGCATTATCATTCAGTAAACCAGGCTGATTAATGCTTTCTTCATGATATGCAGAGATTTCACTTGGATTCAGGTGACTTGTTAATCCATTCGATATATTGGCAGTTTCTAATTGTGTATTATAATTCATCATCATATCATGTGTATAAGTATTATGATGAAATGGCGGTGTTACACTAGACGGCATAAAATTTGTACGATGTTGGTTAAAGTTTAGATTAGACGGGATAAATGAATTATTCATTGACTGCTCTGTAGTGATATAGTCGACGACACTATTGTCCAGTGAATGGCCCTCAGTATTCAATCCATTCGTGTTATATAATAAATTATTCGACGGTGCGTAGAATGGCTTCATCTGTAGACCTAAGAGCCCGTTGGTTGTATCACTGTTATTACTATCATTGTTAGTATTATCACTTCGATTTACACTGTCATTATCAGGGAATATTAATGGATATTTTTGAAGTAAATGATCTGTATTTATTAAACTCTGTGATGTATTATGAAATGGTAAATTATGCAATAATGTACTACTGTAAGTAGGATAATTCGACGACAATAATTGATTTGAATTGCTTACACAAAATGTAGAATGTAATGATGGCAGCTGAGAGGAACACGTTGATGATGATGTCGAGGATGAGGATGACGATGACAAACAGCATGACATCGCGTACATATTATGGTTAGAATTAACTGGCAATTGATCATTAGTAAAATTACAATTAAAATTAATCGGGGTAAGTGATTGATTTATTCGACGCCTTGAACGTTTCATTGAGGAGTTGTGTTTCATCGATTGACTATTGGATACATCCGAGTGATTTTCACTTTCATATAAATTATGCTCTGAAATATTCTCTGGTTTTCTGTAGTCACCATCACCGTTTAAATCATTATTTGTTTGATTTTTATTCTGTACATGATTGGTAATCTGTTTCTCTTCCATATGTGCATCAAGTTGATCATTACCATTTCGAAGGTGGTTTTCATCTTCCTGTGGATTATTATTCCTTTCCACTTCTTCTACTTCATCATCGTTGTCATCATCACTGTCATCATCATCATCTTCATAGCTGACATCGTCATCATCATCGTCATTATTCATACTTCCACATGTACTATCCTCATTGGAATTCAAACCGGAACCGAGTAGTAGAGGATTCAGTCGTTTCTGTTTTTGTCGTCTATTACAAAACCATACACGCACCACCTCTTTTTCTAAGCCTAATACATCAGCTAATTGGATAATATCTTGGGCTAATGGTTTCGGTTGTTTAACAAAGTGATTTTCTAGGATACCTTTGACACCAATTTCTATACTTGTACGCTTTTTACGTTTACGTCCTTGTGTTGTAATTTTATCAAGATTATTTGTTGTCCCTGTGGAACAATCGGCTTCATGTAACCATTTCTGCAATAACGGTTTTAGTTTACACATATTTTTAAACGATAATTGCAAGGCTTCGAAACGGCATATAGTTGTTTGACTGAATACATTCCCGTATAGTGTACCCAAAGCTAGACCAACATCGGCTTGTGTATAGCCCAGTTTAATTCTACGCTGTTTAAACATTTTAGCAAATATCTCTAAATCATCAGCTGAAGGATACTCACCAGTTCCAGGAATTATTGTGTTGTTGTTATTATTATTACCAGTGCCATTATTATTGCTACTGTTTGACATAGCTGTGGTATTCGTATTCTCGGTATTTCTACCAACTTGAGGATAATCCACTCCATTCATGTTTAAAGAATCAATGAATCCTGGAACTTGTGACGGTGAACATGTCCTTGTCATATTCATTAATTCGTCTGCCATTTCTGATTGATATTTACCACTAGAATTGAATAATTTACACTCATGAATTAATTCATTGGTTGTACATGCTGAAGAGGTGATCAACTGTTGCATTGATGTCGGTGGCTGTAGTACTAAACTGTGCAACATTCCATTGAATAGACTTGATGATGTTGTTGGCATTGTAGACAGCGATTGTAACGGGTCTACTGATATGTGTTCATTTAATGTTGATTGAGAATTAATACTGTCAATTAGATTTGTCGTTGTATTCTGATTACATATTAATGAGGGGAACAAATAAGGCTGGGATTCTGTTAAATTTGGATTATTACTATTGTTATGTAGTAAAGTATTAAATTGTTGATCATTGTTCATACGGGAATTTAGTTTTTCTGATAAATTTTTATTATTTATATGCAGGTTACTGTTAATACCCATCTCTAAGCTATTTGTCACTGGATCACAACCACCACTGCTATTGATAGTACTAACAGAAGTAGTAGTAGTAGTGGTGTTCATTACAGAATTAGTTGCAGTAGTAATAGTAGCAGTCGTAGTGATATTAGTGGTTGTAGCATTACTAGCAGTATAATTATTACTACTATTATATATATTCATTAGTTCACTTACATGATTCATAATCATCATATTTGGAGATTTCCATTCGTATTTTTGGAAAGCTGATTCATTATTCAGCTCAGAGGATGAATTAGTTAAATTGAGTAAATTAGCCTGCTGATTATTGTAGTGACATGTTTCTTGATTCTGGGAATACTGGCACGGTTGATTACAGAATGATTCCGGTATTGGATTAATATGCGACGACAAGTATGAAGGATAGCCTTGAGTTGATTCAGTATAATCTGTTCTATTGAAACCACTATCTTCACTCAATAGTCTCTGAGAGGAATTATTTAAATACTGTGAATTCTCTTTAACTAGATTCATAGAAACATCAAATGTTTTCAGTGATTCTGTTGAAGTAAGTGGCAATGACATTGGCGAATGTTCAGCATTCAAATGTTTGCTGACTTTACAACTTCGCCAATCGTTTGATCTTAATGGAGATAAACAATTGGAAATATTATCCGACAATGTAATCCCACTGGTTAAATATTCATTCTGATTTATTGATGTTACTAGCGGTGAGGAGTTCATCAACGTAGAGGAATTTTGTGATAATTCTATTGGTAATTTTGTTGACTTCAATGGAAAGGAGTTATTACAATCTGGATGAAACTGATCTGAGATTATTCTTGTATGATCACTGTCTGTAGTATTATTACATAATTTACCCATAAATCCTGTCTTGTCAGTAAAGTTTGAATAATTTGATAAGTTCTCACCAGACTGCACAAATGTTTGAATTCTATTTGTATCTGGTGTACATTTCATCAAATCGTGACTAGTGTGATAAGGCGATTTTGTTGGACGGTATAAAATATTTTTCCAGTGTTCTACTTCTTTGTCTGTGCTATTCATTCGGTCATAATAAATACTCTGTTGGTTATTACTACTAATATTATTGTTATTATTAACATCTGTAAAATCATTTATTTCATTCACTTCTTGTAGATTTGCTACTGACTGTTGTTTCGACCTATTTACACAAGCTTCGTCAATAGTATTGCAGGAGAATAAGTCGATCGATGGATGCATCTGGTTATGAAGACTTGTTGTCGAAGATTGAAAGGATAGCAAATCTTGATTACAATCCGCTGTTGGTAATACACTTTTGCTTGTATCGAAGTAACTTGGATTTTCTTGACTAAAATATTCAGTAGGATTGTTAGTATTATTATTACTACCGTTATTATTACTGTTATTATTAATGTTTGTTAATTCGTCTATTTGTTGTTCTACAGGATGACTGCGAACACCACTTTCATTATTTTGTAAATCTACATATAAGGGAATAATTCCACTATCATGTAGATTGGATCTAGACGATGTGGAACATGAAGGAAATCCTGAGAAATTCAGCAATTGATGTTGTTCATTGAAAGGTTTTGACGTGAAATCTTTGCGACAAGAGGATTCATTAGATAACCACTGGGGATTCTGATTGACAATGTCAGAATTAGTACAGTTGTCCACATTCTTCTTAAAAGTTGCAGAAGAGGAAGAAGAAGAGGAAGGAAGAGAATTTATGTCGACACCATGATTCATTAAGAAGTCGTGACTAAAAATATTCTGTTGTAAGCTTGTGATGATTTCTGAGCTATTACGTGATATAGGTAGTAATAATCGATTCGGGTGGAATATACTGTCAACATCATTGTTAAGATCACTTGACCATTGGTGAATATTCTCATTACTGTTGTTGATACTGTTATTAGGATAAGGCAAAATGTTGAGTTTCTCATTCCGCTGTGTAACTGTGACTTGATCTTTTATTGAATGTCGCAGACGATTTCGTGTACCTGTCCCACGTTTAGTAGACCTATTCATTGACTGTAGACTTTTACTTTGATACTGACCATGAAGAATGTAGTCATTACTACTACTACTACTATTAGTTGTGTCGTTATCTTCAGTAGTACTAGTAGTGGTAGGGATATTAGAAGTTGTTAGTGTTGCAATAGCACTGTCAGCTTTAAAATTGTTCAAAGAGTTTGTTAATGCGCACAAAGGAGAATAGTTACAAGCCAATGAACATGCACTTTCTAATAATGACAGAGGATTCATATCACGAGTACAGTCTTCTTTATTAATAATATCATTACTACTATTATTATTATTGATCATATTTGAGAAAATATTTCTTTTTATCACATTTGTTTTTATTTCCCTTGTTGTAGTTGATATTGTTTTGTCGAAGTAGGTTGAAGGTGTCTGCTGAATTAAATTATTATCCTCATTAGTGAATTGTTCAATTAATCGATTCAATGATGGTGACGATAATGATAATGAGGATGAAGATGTTGATGATGGAGGTGGCGATAGAAGCGATGATGTCTGAGATAATAATAATGATGATGATGATTCTGTATGCGTAATATTTAAATTAGTCCGATATGATTCCATCACTTCTTGATTCATTCATTAATGAAATATTCGTATGTGTTGTGTGTGTGTATGTGTGTGTAGGTGCACGTGTTTGTACATGTAGTTATGTCTGCAACTCTATGACTGGATAGCTTAGAATGATTAATATAAAGACTGTTGAGTAAATATGAATAAATTATACAATACTCTCAAGTTTTTTTTTACAACAAATTTGTGTTCACAGCAAGCAAGAAAGTCCTACAGAGAGAATATCTATCCTGAATATAATGAGAATTCTTAAATACTTAGCTAGCCGTTAGAACGATATCATACTCGATTCATAGGATATAGTATCAGGTTAATTCTAAGAGGAGAAGAACGCATAGAAAACAGACTGGTTTGTTATAGGCAGGCAGGCAGGTAGACAGGTAAAAAGTGTGTTTGCGTGTACACAGCATAAAGGCATTAAATTTAGCGGGTGATTTTAGTGAGGGACAGAGAAATTTATTTTATACTCGAACCTGATTGGTTGATTAAAAGTAGAACAGTTGTTAACTGTTCATTTCAATGGTCAATAAATTTACGCATATAATTAATTATAAACAAGGGGGAGGCAAATACGCTGCAGAAAACGTGTATCAATGACGAGAGAGAGGGAGGATTACTATTTCAGACAATATATATAATGTATGTGTGGGGAGAGATGGAAAGACGCTAAGATATTGGATGAATTGGCGATAAATGAGTGAAAAAGGGGGAGAGGGAGACAGAGAAAGGCATGAACAAGCATGGTTGAGTAGAAGGACACTACAAACACACACACTCATAATAACAGATGAACGAACAAAGAGAAAGAGAGAATCAGCGTTACTATTTGGGGGTAGATTAGTGAGTCGATGATATTGAGAAATTAAATGCACATAAGATTGGTTCATAAAATGAAATTGATCGTAGGAAAAAGAGGAAGAAACTTTAGATATTTTTATCATTTGTCATTGGATTTTTGTTTTCTTATTGATCTGGTCTTCCTGAATAATTAGCATATGTATTTTCATAAGACAGTATAACTGTTTATCGGATCGATAAACTTATTTGAACAGAGAAGAAGCATAGCTCTTGTAGAATATATTATCTTCTGTTGTATTCCTCGCAACTGTATCACAGCTATTGTTATCATTATTAGCGTTAGAATGAATAAGGATGGATGTATATCTGTTGTATATTTGTGTTCTGAAACAGATGAAATTACTTCTGAATCGAAATGTCCAGTCTCTGTTGGTTTATCGGCTCATAGTACGGACACTTGGAGGATGCTGTAAGGTTAAAATTATGTTACTTGGTTAATGCAGTAGCTAGCATTGAAATCCAGAATGCACCGTTCTTCCTGTTCGGGACTCGTCATCTGAATGTAGCGAAAACGCTAGAGAGTGATGGCGTATTTCCAGTGGAACTCACTGGACATCAATGAATTCGTTGTAATACGAGTCAACATGTCAACATAGTTGGAGCATTTGAACCCATAAAATCAATCGACGCGAAATGCAAAAGTAGAAATTTCGACGAATAACAACTGATACACGTTGATCTCATGGTCCAGCAGCCTAGTTGTTAACGCTTTGGTATTTGAAATGATGAATGCTGAGCTCATGTCTCACTTAAGATGCTGGTACATCCAGCCAACGAGTCCCAAATAGGATGAAACGTGCATCTCAGATTCTACTGCTTGCCATCATCAACCAAATAAGGATGTATGTACTTTAGAATTGAAAATGGTCCATATTCCAATGATAAACGGTGATTAAGTCTAAAAAGTAAAATTGAGATAGAATAATTAAATTTGCTTAGGTGAAAGCAAGTTGATTCATCTACAGTTAGTGTAATTGTCTGTCATACATATTATATGTAATAAGGAAATACGTATAATATAACTTGGATAAGATGTAGAAAGCAGGATAGAAGAATGAATCCAATTATTAAAAACTCAAGTATTGGTTTTGTAGGAATTTTGTTTGATTGCATGGAGGATTTCATCATGGGCTGACATCAGTTAGAGAACCACTGGAAAACCTGGGAGTACTGGACAGCTGTTTCGTCCTAGTTTGGGACTCTTCAGCAGTACGCGCCCACCGGGATTCGAACCCAGGACCTTCTGGTTACAAGGCGAGCTCGTAAACCATTGAGTCACTGGGACCCGATACAATGGTCCTTGAATTCTAACTTCTGCCAATTCATGAAATAGTGCAACCACTTCGCAATGTCTTTTTCGATGAGTTACTGTCTTACCTTCAAGCACCCTATTGGTCAGGTCTTCCAGTGGTTCTGTAACTGATGTCAGCTCATGATGAAATCCTCCATGCTATTAAAAACTCATTTGTAATGAATATTTATACATATGTAATGATTAGTTTTTGATGGCAACTAAGACAAAATCATATCGATGCATATGAAAATTCATCACAGGTATGTTTATAGTAGCTAATTACATGTATCCCAAGTTGCTTGTTAATGTGGTTAATTATTGATTTTTTCGGAATACAGAGGTCGGTCTAATTCTAATCGTTTTTGACCGAAATCACTGTATGATTTTGCTCACTTCTGATTACTCAGCTTACAAGTTATTTGATTCTACATATACAGTTACCACTAGCTACTTTTCTGACTGTAAGAAGTCATCGCACTCATCTTATGTGACTAACGAATAGTTGTTCCTACATCAGTCGAAACTACACAAACTCAGCAAGGTGATATAAACTGAATGCTTATCACAGTAACCATTTCTAGTTGGATTTCAAAGAGCAATAGTGACAAGTTTTGAAGTCATCAGGTGGCATATCGTACAGAGTGATAGTAAACAGAGGTTAAGATGTCACAAATTGCCAGAAGACGAAGGTTATATGCAACGGAGTTCTCACTTCGAGCAGGCACTGATGAGAAGTCCTGAACTAGGATGAACGTGTTTTCCAGAGCTCCATGTCTCTCACTAGTTTCAAAATCAGCGTTAATTTGTGGTAACAATGACTTCAAATACGAGTTTAACCACGGGTTGATATCATTTAGGGAACCACTGAAAACCAGGGAGTGCTGGACAGCTGTTTCAGCTAGGATGAAAGTTCAAAAAACGAATCTTTTTTAAACGACTGCTTCAGATCTGTGTGAGTTCAGCTAAATTTTTGCCAAATTAAGGAAGTTACTTGTACGGATGACAGTGAATGAATCTTTACTGGATAGATTACCATTGTTAGTGTTTTAGTCTACGTATATTGATGCAGTATTATCGCTAATAGTATCATGAAAGTATAATCAAGTAATCAGACCTCCACTTTATCATGACTGACTCTGAATGTGATCGAAAAAACCCATAATATTTTTAAAATATAATAATGTTCGTTAGGAGTTACTACTGAATTTTATTCATTCTACAAAGATCAACTAACCATCCATATCTTGACTAGATCAATCATTAATGGTCTACATTAATTATTGAACCTAGCAAGTTGAAACATGTCTAATTATACTCATGATATGATCCTAATTTATTGATCTACATTTAAAAAAGAAAGAGATCTAATGACAAAGTAACCATCATTCTATAATGACAAGTTGATGGCAGAATGGAATTCTTTATTTTGACTGTCTCAAAATAATAGACGTCTATGTTTGTCAATTATATTACTAAGTACTATATTAGGATAGTTATGACCTTTATTATTATTATTATTTATTTTTTAAGTGATTGGTTGTTGGCATATCTTTCCACTCTGTCTATACCTGTCTCTGTCGCTTGCCATCTCATTACAGCTCACACTGATGATGATGATGGTGTAGATGACCATAATGGGGTGTTGAATATGTAAAGACAAAGAGAATGATTGTCAAGTTGAAATCACCTTTCGCTTTTACTCTTAGAATTTATGAATTTTATTATAAATATGTAAATATATGTGTTTCTAAATATGATATCAGATAAGTTATTGAAGTGTCATGTTCCCCATATATGATATACCTAAAAGTTTAAATAACAATACAAAAAAAAAAGAATTGAACTTTTAAACAATTTCAGTGTATTTTCTTACAAATTTATTTATTTGTTTGTTTTTCTAGCCTTTTTTGTTTTATAAAGTAGATTATCTATGTAATCTTGTGTTGATCCGCTTTCCATATTCACTGACTTTCATTCCTTCTTAGACTACAAATGACAGATGTACTGATCATGTCGCATATACGTGAATTCTTTCAGACAGTTGATGATCTCAGACAACAAGTCACTTCAGTCGTTTTCAAATACCTGTATCCTCTGGAGACAAATAAACATGCATAAGCATGTAAATCTTTGACAGATCACCTAGGTAGTGTTTCATTGGAAATTTACAAATAAAAAGACAACAACGAAATATGACTTAATGGTAAAAATGATCGCTTCATAACCTGATGGTTATGGAGGAGACCTATGATGCAGTCGTGCGTGTGCACTGCTGAAGAGTCGTAAACTAGGACGAAATAATCGTCCAACACCTCATAATCTCCAATAGTTCTCTAAATGATATCAGTTTGCTATGAAGTCTGTACCTAGGTTAATCAAAACTCCTACAATTTCTAGGGTGTTAATATTATTTATTTGGTTATTTATTGAATCGAAACATTTCAGTTTGAGCATAAAACCTATCTATCCAGCTATTGTCAGATATAAGTACAAACATTGAATGTTAGCTACTTTACGAAATAAGGAAAGAAAACAATCCTGTGTCGCTATGTACACAAATAGGGATTATTTCCCCTCTTCAGTGACACTAATTGATTCATTTCTTTTTTTGGTTCATAATACTAATAAGTGTTTAAACAGGTTGTTGGTATTTCTCTTCAGATAATCATGAGTACTCTTTAATATAAGGAAGGCGATTTCAAAATGTAACATGAAATAAAAAAAAATTTGAATAAATGAATTTTATTTCCATATCTCAACTACTGAGCATTAATGCGATTCCCAGTGTATGCCTGTGTGTAAATATGTGTACTTCCTTTCCTCGTTATCATCATATATTCGGTTGTTATTATGCTTAATGTAACATTAATCTCACTTATCGAATAAGTAAATAATAAATAACAGAGAGAATGATTTGAATATTTAGTAATCATGTTGCACAGTAACACGTGATCTTATTTTAAGAAGTAAATTAAACAGAAGAAATATGGCCAAAAATTTCACTTAGATTTTTTTGCTACTACTATTAATCTCCTGAAGTATTAAGTATTATCATTTTCTGAAGTGTTGGCTTGCAGGATTTCGACTAATTTCAAGTTACACTTCATCATAAACTTGTATCAGTTAGAGAAGAATTGGAAACTAGAAAACAATGGACACTGGCTTCATCCTTGCAGTACATACTTGTGACTCCACTGGTGACTAACCTTAAGACTGTCAGATTGGGAAATGTGCATGTTACCATTAATCCGATGGGACGGAATTCAAAACAGAAATTATAAATAAATCCATTTGTCACAAGAGTTGGCATAAACTATTAGGTTGACGTAACACGGAAGATTTTTTTTCTGGAATCATGTGTTCGTGATTATCAATGAAGACCATATCACTAAATTATATAAAATCAGCTTATCAGATTAAGGACATTTTAGTTAACCTTTGGGATACGTATTTTGATTACTTTGAAATGTGGCAGACAGAGATTATTATTATCATTTCCTGTAGTTCCTAGAGGAACATAGGGCTTCAGCCGAACGTCACCACTGC